CCTCTCCAGCACCGCCCTTGAGCACCCCTCCAGAATGTAGATTTTCCCCTCATGCCACCACAAGCCCCCTTGGTCCCTCAGTGATTCTTTATTTAATGCCAACCAAGGGTCCCTTTTGCTGGCTTCCAGGAAGGCTCGCCGTAGCTCCGGCTCTGCCTCTTGCCTCTGCTTCTCTGCCTGGGCTCGGGTTATGGCTTTCGCTGCCAACTGGGTTACAGGGATGATCGAGTCCACTACTTCCTCCCACTGGCTGTTGTGCTGGGGTAGGCGGGACAGGGCATCCCCAGGAAGTTCCTCTTCCCTGCTATGCATTTGAGTTAGAAATTGAATTGGGTGAAGTACTGCGACCAGCACACTTGCTTAGGTGACAGCTTCTGCAGGGTCCTAAGCGCCTCCAGATTTTTGTGGTCCGTTCAGACCTTGAACGGGTGGCTTTCCCCCTTCAGCAGATGCCTCCAGGTTGAGAGCACCCGCTTGATAGCAAAGGCTTCCTTCTCCCAGACCATCCACTGGCTCCGTCCCACTGAAACTCCGGGAGGCATACACACACGGGTGGATGCCCCTGCCAGTCCCTGCTGTAGGAGGACCATGCCCATCACCACATCCAAAGCATCAGCCTGGACGATAAATTGTCTGTCTGGGTCAGAGTGCTGCAAAATGGGTTCTGCGGTGAACCGCCTTTTAAGTGCTCAAATGCCTCTTGGCATTCCTGGGTCCATGACAGGGCCATGCCTGGTTTAGGGGGCTTCCCGCTCCCTCAGGTCTTTAGTAAGTCCATAAGTAGGAGGGCAGCTTGAGCGAAGTTGGGAATGAACTGGCAGTAGAAGTTTGCGAACCCTAGGAAGCTTTGGAGCTGCCTATGGGTCTGTGGTGCCTCCCACCCCAGTACGTCCCTCACCTACCCCAGGCAGTCCAGGCTCTCCTGATGGAACTCGCACTTGATGTACAGTTGTGCCTCCAGCAGTCTCCCGAGCACCACCCTGACTAGCCTCACATGCTCCTCCAGCGTTTCTGAATAGAAGAGGACATCGTCCAGGTAGACCAGGACCCCCTGGTACAGGAAATCATGCAGGACCTCATTGATTAGTTGTATGAATACCCCCAGGGCCCCCTTTAATCCAAATGGCATCACATGATACTGGAAGCTGCCCAGGGGGCAATTGAAGGCAGTCTTCCATTCGTTGCCCTTGTGTATTCGAACCCTGAAATACGCTTCTCTCAGGTCCAGTTTGGTGAACACCTTCCCTTTGAATAGGTGCAACAATAGGTCCTTCATGATGGGGAGTGGGTATTTATTCTTCGCACTGATGGTATTCAGCCCCTGGTAGTCTACACACAGCCTCAACGAGTTGTCCTTCTTTTCCCGGAAAAGCACCGGGGCCACCATTGGAGACTTTGCCGGCTGGATGAAGCCCCTCTCCAAGTTTTTATCAATAAATTCCCTCAGGGTGGCCATCTCTTTCCCCGACATGGAATACATTTTGGGCTTAGGCAGTTTGGCCCTGGGCTCCAGTTCAATCGCTCAGTGTGTGGGTCAGTGGGGAGGTAGCTGATCTGACTCTACCTCGCTGAAGACCGCCTCCAGGTCACAGTAGGGTTTTGGGATACTGCTGCCCTTCCCCTGTTCATCTGGTGCCACCCCACTTGGTTCCCGCTGCCACTGCCACTGGCTCTGCCGCTGCCGCTGTTGCCGTCGTCTCTGTTGCCGTGACTGCCTTGGCCGTGGTCATGTCCACCACCCCCTCTTGCGACCCGGTTGGTCCCAATGCCATCACCGCCTTCATCCTGCTCACCGTCAGTTGGCCAGTCTTGGCTGCCACCACCCTCATTGCCGTTGCAGGTTGACACCCTTGGATCACCTCTCCCTCTGCTGGCACCTCTGGTGTCCCTGGGTGCTCTGCTGTCGTGTCCCCTCTGCGGCCTGCTCTCGTTCGTCCATTAGTGCTGCTGAACCACAGGACCTTGGATGCTTAGTCGATGTGTGAGTTCTGATGCTTAAGCCATGCCAAGCCTAGCACCAGTGTGTAATTGGCCATCTGGGTAACTATGAACTGCCGATGGGTACCGATCGTCATTTCGACTGGCTCAGTATAATACAGTTCTGGTCCCCCCCGCCATCGACCTGTCCAGCTGGCAGAACGGTATTGGCTCCCTGAGTTTCCTTAACCGGAGTCCCAGTCCCAATACCAACACCGGGCGGATGGGGCAATGAGTACACCCCGAGTCCAGTAGGGCCTCAATAGTCAACCCTGCTCCCAATCTCACCCCCACCCGAGGTGGACCTTCACCCACATGGGTGGGCAATCCCCGCTTACTAGCAGGTCTTCACCTCACAATGTCTCTGCCTGTACTGGGACATGCTTCAGCGTAGGCGACCGTCATTTCCCGCCAGTTTGTTCTCCTCCTCTGAAGACCCAGACTCGGAAGTAGACCAGCTGGTCCTCCCACGCTCCACTCAGCTGGCCATCGTCCCCTTTCAGGGTCGGTTTGGGGTTCAGATCCCCAGCAGCTTCTGACCTTCACCCTCCACACGACTTGTCGGGGCGTCCTGCTCCAAGGGGCATTGCACTGCCCGGTGTCCCTCACCCCCACACCGGTAGCAGAGTCCTGCCTTCAGCTGGCTTCTCTATTGTTGGGGCCCCATACCTCCCCTCCAGGGTTCCCTCATCTCAGTCAAGCCTGGCTGGCTTCTGGGCTCTGGTCCTCTCCTTAATTTGGTTCCAGGTGGCTTCCGCCATCCCCACCAGCCAGATCTACTCCTTCAGCATCTCCGGGTCATCCCTGCTGAGTGCTTTCTCAAGGATCTCTGGGTGGAGCCCATTCTGGAAGTAGTCTACTTTCAGGGACTCCAGCCAGTCAGTGAGTTTTTCTGCAAGACACCTGAACTCCAGGGTGTTCTCGGACACTGTCCGATCCCCCTGGCGCAGTCAGTGGATCTTGTCCCAGGCTCACCTGGTGCTCAGCATATCTTCAAATCACTCTTTGAGCACCTGCATGAACTCAGGGAAGTCTTCGAGTTCTGCTGCGTTGGCATCATACCAGCAGACGACTCATCCAGCTGCTTGCCCCTCCAACAGATTGGCCATGTAGGTGACCTGTTCCCAGTCATTGCTGAACAGGTGCCCATTGTGGTCCATGAAGTTCCTCACCTGCATGAGGAAACAGGGTAATTGCTCGGGGTCCCCCAAGAATCGGCTCTTCAGGTTCCTAAACCTGAGTGCCTCTGCTGCCCATCGCTCATCCACTGCACCTCCCATGAGTCTAGTCATTGCCACTAGCCCAAGTGTGGGATCCGTGCTGCGTCCTGCTCCTCCACTGGCTCCTGGGGCTTCCCCAGCTAGGATTCCGGACCCGCAAAGCAGTGTCTGCAGTATCCCCTGCATGGCCGCCAACTGCCATCAGAAATCGCCTTCCATCCATGATATCCGGTCCTCCAGCTCCCAGCTCCGAGATACTGAGCCCCTGAGCCTCAATGTGTCGTGACTCTGCATCCCAATGGGGCCCCAAGTCCCAACCCTACACCAATGGACCATCTTGTGTCCCGAGGTGTGGGCGTGGGGGCCTCTCTCTTCCTCTCCTGCCGGACCATCTCCTCCACCACCGGGGTCTCAGGTCCGGATTCCTCGCTGCCTCACTGTCACTTGCCATCGCTGCACGAAGCCGATCAGGTCCAGTAGGTTGTTGGCGGACAAAAGAATGTAAGCTCCTTGGTAGAGTTATTCCGGATAGAGCTCAAGGGGAATCCTGGCTTTATGTAAGGATCACTGCATTCAGTGCTGAACAAAAACCTCGTGAGACACAGGCTTGGACGAAAGTTAGTTTACTCAGGCATAAAGCGTAACAGTTACAGACAAAGCCAGGATTGGCTGGGTGTGGTTCTTTACAGTGTTTTATAGGGTCCCCCCTGACCCA